AAATGTAACTATGACTAGTAACGCTAGACAAGGTTCCACAGTCTGGCCATAAAGTGCCAACATGTTTCTGGTTTTGAAATTCAACAGTTATAGGGAAACAAAACGAATACAAAGGGAATCAGTAAGTGCTGCTTTTCGTAGCTCTCAGGCCAGAACCTCCTCCATAGTGACCTCCGCTGAGCAGGTACCCACTACCCTTACTCAGTGGTCTCCACACAAAGGCTCACCAACTGGCCTTTGGTTAGTGACGGCTCCAGTACCAGCTCTTGCATGCTTTCTGTGTGTGTGGGGACACTGCTACGATAATTAAATTTTGTGCACATTAAAGCTTAAGCAATACCTTGGATCGAGTCTAGACGTGGTCCAGGGGTTGGTGGGCAGCTGCAGAACTGGAGTTGGATGGTCTGTCTGGGGTGAGGGGTGGGTCTCTGAGCTGAGCCAGCTTCCTGACATTTATAAGTATAGGCTTGCTATTGGGGTTTGGCTGCGGGTCATGGCTACGGTGCATGTATAGGGATGGTTTTCAGAGCGCGGTCTGGGTACTGAGTCCAGTTCCTTCCAGCCTTCACTGCCCTCAGAACACAGACACACACGTTCAGGTTGTGGTACGTGGGTAGGGAGGTGCACAATGAGAAGCTCGGAGCAGCACAGGATCACTCTGTGTCTTTACCGTATCATTCAGTGATTCGTGTGACATTATCAACTCTGTAACATGTAGCCAAACCCCTCTTAATTAACAACACTACAACATAAAAGAGGAAAGGCAACCAGCAGCCGGCACCTTCTCAGTCAAAGCCGATAAGTTGCGGATAATATCAAAGACAACACATCGCTCTATCTGCGAGTGATGAGTCACACAAAAATGCCACCGTGTTAGGCTGCATTAGGCCTTTTTTGCATATTTACATGTTTACATAAGCCCACAACGGTTCACATGTCTTTGTGTTTATTAATAGTTTAGTTATGGCAAAAATATCTGTGCAGGGTAAATTCGTAAATGGCCTTTAATTATGACAAATCTCAAATCCTTTCTAAAGCTTTTTTGATAGACCACGTGCCACAACACATGAAAAATAGGACAGGAAGGAAAAAAGGATAGAAGCCTTTAAACCTCTATGCATATTTTTGTACCAATTATTAAATTAGCGAAACACCAATTCAAAGTAAAATGTATATAAATACAAATCTGAACGCAGCGATACACTGCATATGCAGCACTTCAACGCTGGACAGAGGAAGCTGCATTACTCTTTGGGACGGCAAAGTGAGGGTCTTTCCCAGTGTAGCTCTGAGGCACTGCGCCCAGACGTACGCCCAATGACTCAGGAGCGTCACGTGAGCATAAGCGTGGCTCACAGCCTGTGCCACTTTGCAAGGGGCGTGTCTCGGCACGGTGTCCCAAAGGGTGCGTAAGCTCTGCCGTGACCAGCGCCCTAAAATCCACAGTGCTAGAGCGATGTTATCCAACCTGTGGCCCTCAGAAGGTTTTCCTGTGTCCCCGTGCTCATTAGGACCCATTGTTCCATCCTATGACATATGTGTGGGTATCAGGAGGAATTCTACATATTTGGGAATCAAATGTAGGACAGTGGAGTGCCAGTGGGTGGAAGAGGGAGTTGTTAGCTCCAACCTGGAGTTTGTTCCTTTACTCCATTGACCTGCCTTTCAGAAAGGGAGCCCACAGCTCTAAGACAGCTTCTAGTTTACTTAATTTTGATTACATTCGGACAGCATAGCCTCTGTGACAGGAGAGACACACTCAGGCAGCATAACCTATACAGTAGGTGAGACAAGTCAGGCAATATAGCCCCTACGACAGGAGAGACACACTGAGACAGCATAGCCCCTGCGACAGGAGAGACACACTCAGGCAGCATAGCCCCTACGGCAGGTGAGACACATTCAGACAGCGTAGCCCCTACAACAGGAGAGGCACACTCAGGCAGCATAGCCCCTTACGACAGGAGAGACACATTCAGACAGCGTAGCCCCTATGACAGGAGAGACACACTCAGGTAGCATAGCCCCTACAGCAGGTGAGACAATTCACTCAGCATCGCCCCTACGGCAGGTGAGACAATTCAGGCAGCATAGCCCCTACATCAGGAGACACAATTCATGCAGCATAGCCCCTATGACAGGAGAGACACACTCAGGCAGCATCGACCCTAAGGCAGGTGAGACAATTCAGGCAACATAGCCCCTACGACCAGAAAAACACACTCAGGTAGCATAGCTCCTATGGCAGGTGAGACACATTCAGATAGCATAGCCCCTTCAATAGGAGAGATACACTCAGGCAGCATAGCCCCTTCAATAGGAAAGACACACTGAAACAGAATAGCCCCTACGACAGGAGAGACACACTCAGGAGCTATGACAGGAGAGGCACACTCAGGCAGCATAGCCCCTACGACAGGAGAGACACACTCAGGCAGCATAGCCCCTACGACAGGAGAGACACACTCATGCAGCATAGCTCCTACAAAAGGAGAGACACACTCAGACAGCATAGCCCCTAAGGCAGGTGAGACACATTCAGACAGCATAGCCCCTACAACAGGAGAGGCACACTCAGGCAGCATAGCCCCTATGACAGGAGAGGCACACTCAGGCAGCATAGCCCCTACGACAGGAGAGACACACTCAGACAGCATAGCCCCTACGACAGGAGAGACACACTCACGCAGCATAGCTCCTACAAAAGGAGAGACACACTCAGACAGCATAGCCCCTAAGGCACGTGAGACACACTCAGACAGCATAGCCCCTACAACAGGAGAGGCACACTCAGGCAGCATAGCCCCTACGACCAGGAGAGGCACACTCAGGCAGCATAGCCCCTAC